ACCCCAAAACACCCCAAAAAACACCCCAAAAAACACCCAAAAACACCCCAACAAAAGCCCATTTTCCTGTTTTTTCCCCCCCAAAAAGATCAAATCCCTGTTTTTTACCCCAAAAAAAGCCAAAATTGCTGGTTTTGAGCCCCAAAAAAGCCGAAATTGGTGTTTTTACCCCCCAAAGAGCCAAAACTGCTTTTTTTTGCCCCAAAACCAAGCCCAGATGACTGTTTTTTCCTCAAAAAAAAGCCCAAATCGATGTTTTTTGCCCCAATAAAAGCCCAAATTACTGTTTTTACCCCCCAAAAAAAGCCCAAACCCGCTGTTTTTTACCCCAAAACAAGCCCAACCTGCTGTTTTTTAGCTCCAAAAAAGCCCAGATTCCTGCTTTTTACCCCAAAAAAAAGCCCAACCCGCTGTTTTTAGCCCCAAAAAAGCCGAAACCGCTGTTTTTCGCCCCCAAAAAGCCCAAATTCCTGTTTTTTGCCCTCAAAAAAGCCGAACCCCCTGGTTTTTGCCCCAAAACGAACTCAGATTCCTGTTTTTTACCCCCCCAAAAAAAGCTGAAATCGCTGGTTTTTGCCCCAAAACGATCCCAAATCGCTGCTTTTTGCCCCAAAAAAAGCCAAAATCGCTGTTTTTTCCCCCCCAAAAAAGCTCAGATTCCTGTTTTTTCCCCCCAAAAAAACCCAAAATCGCTGCTTTTTACCCCAAAAAACCTAAAATGGCTGTTTTTACCCCCAAAAAACCCAAAATGACTGTTTTTTACCCCAAAAAATTCCAAAATCATTGTTTTTTACCCCAAAAAGAGCTCAGATTGCTGGTTTTTACCCCCCAAAAAAAGCCCAAATCGCTGCTTTTTACCCCCCAAAAAAACTCCAGATTCCTGTTTTATCCCCCAAAAAAAGCCAAAATTCCAGATTTTTTCCCCAAAAAAGCCCAAAATGGCTGTTTTTTACCCCCAAAAAAACCAAAATCGCTGTTTTTTAACCCCAAAAAGGCTCAGATTGCTGTTTTTTCCCCCCCTATAAAGCTTAGATTCCTGGTTTTTCCCCCCAAAAAAGCCCAAAATTGCTGTTTTTTACCCCAAAAAAACCCAAAATGGCTGTTTTTTACCCAAAATCGGTGTTTTTTACCCCAAAAAAGAGCTCAGAGCTCTGTTTTTATCCCCCAAAAAAAGCCCAACCCGCTGTTTTTTACCCCCAAAAAAAGCCCAGATTCCTGGTTTTCCCCCCAAAAAAAACCCCAAAATGGCTGTTTTTTACCCCAAAAAACCCCAAAATGGCTGTTTTTAACCAAAATCGCCGTTTTTTGCCCCAAAACGCAGCTCGTACCTGCACTGCGAGTGGGCCACGGTGGCCCAGCTGGAGCGGGACAAGCCCAGATTCCTGGGTTTTCCCCCCAAAAAAAACCCCAAAATGGCTGTTTTTTACCCCAAAAAAATCCCAAAATGGCTGTTTTTACCCAAAATTGGTGTTTTTTGCCCCAAAAAAGAGCTCAGAGCTCTGTTTTTATTCCCCCAAAAAAGCCCAACCCGCTGCTTTTTACCCCCAAAAAAACCAAAATTCCTGGTTTTTACCCCCAAAAAAACCCCAAAATGGCTGTTTTTACCCCAAAAAAGCCCAAAATTGCTGTTTTTTACCCCAAAAAAGAGCTCAGAGCTCTGTTTTTATCCCCCCAAAAAAGCCCAACCCGCTGTTTTTTACCCCCAAAAAAAGCCGAAATTGCTGTTTTTTCCCCCCAAAAAAACCCCCAAAATGGCTGTTTTTTACCCCAAAAAAGCCCAAAATCGCTGTTTTTTACCCCCCAAAAAAGCCCAGATTCCTGGTTTTTCCCCCCAAAAAACCCCAAAATCGCTGGTTTTTACCCCAAAAAAGCCCAAATTCCTGTTTTTTTACCCCCAAAAAAACCCAAAATGGCTGTTTTTTACCCCAAAAAAACCCAAAATTGGTGTTTTTTACCCCAAAAAAGCCCAAAATGGCTGTTTTTACCCAAAATGACTGGTTTTTACCCCAAAAAAAGCTCAGATTGCTGTTTTTTACCCCAAAAAACCCCAAAATGGCCGTTTTTACCCAAAATGGCTGTTTTTTACCCCAAAAAAGCCTAAAATTCCTGGTTTTTACCCCCCCAAAACCCCAAAATTGGTGTTTTTTACCCCAAAAAAGCCCAAAATGGCTGTTTTTAACCAAAATCGCTGTTTTTTACCCCAAAAAAGCTCAGATTGCTGGTTTTCCCCCCCCAAAAAAGCTTAGATTGCTGGTTTTTATCCCAAAAAAAACCCCAAAATGGCTGTTTTTTACCCCAAAAAAGCCCAAAATGGCTGTTTTTTACCCAAAATCGGTGTTTTTTACCCCAAAAAAGAGCTCAGAGCTCTGTTTTTATCCCCCAAAAAAGCCCAACCCGCTGTTTTTTACCCCCCAAAAAACCCCAAAATCGCTGTTTTTTACCCCAAAAAAATCAAAATGGCTGTTTTTAACCAAAATCGCTGTTTTTTACCCCAAAAAAGCCCAAAATTGCTGTTTTTACCCCAAAAAACCCAAAATCGGTGTTTTTTACCCCAAAAAAGAGCTCAGAGTTCTGTTTTTATCCCCCAAAAAAGCCCAACCCGCTGTTTTTACCCCCCAAAAAAGCCAAAATTCCTGGTTTTTCCCCCCAAAAAAGCCCAAAATCGCTGTTTTTTACCCCAAAAAAACCCAAAATGGCTGTTTTTAACCAAAATCGCCGTTTTTCACCCCAAAATCCCAGCTCGTACCTGCACTGCGAGTGGGCCACGGTGGCCCAGCTGGAGCGGGACAAGCCCAGATTCCTGGTTTTGCCCCCCAAAAAAAACCCCAAAATGGCTGTTTTTTACCCCAAAACACCCAAAATGGTTGTTTTTACCCAAAATCGCCGTTTTTTACCCCAAATCCCAGCTCGTACCTGCACTGCGAGTGGGCCACGGTGGCCCAGCTGGAGCGGGACAAGCCCAGATTCCTGGGTTTTACCCCCAAAAAAAGCCCCAAAATCGCTGGTTTTTACCCCAAAACACCCAAAATGGCTGTTTTTAACCAAAATCGCCGTTTTTTGCCCCAAATCCCAGCTCGTACCTGCACTGCGAGTGGGCCACGGTGGCCCAGCTGGAGCGGGACAAGCCCAGATTCCTGGGTTTTCCCCCCAAAAAAAACCCCAAAATGGCTGTTTTTTACCCCAAAAAAACCCAAAATGGCTGTTTTTAACCAAAATCGCCGTTTTTTGCCCCAAAACGCAGCTCGTACCTGCACTGCGAGTGGGCCACGGTGGCCCAGCTGGAGCGGGACAAGCCCAGATTCCTGGGTTTTCCCCCCAAAAAAAACCCCAAAATCGCTGTTTTTTACCCCAAAAAAACCCAAAATGGCTGTTTTTGCCCAAAATCGCCGTTTTTTACCCCAAAACGCAGCTCGTACCTGCACTGCGAGTGGGCCACGGTGGCCCAGCTGGAGCGGGACAAGCCCAGATTCCTGGGTTTTACCCCCAAAAAAACCCCAAAATTGCTGGGTTTTACCCCAAAAAAATCAAAATGGCTGTTTTTGCCCAAAATCGCCGTTTTTCGCCCCAAAACACAGCTTGTACCTGCACTGCGAGTGGGCCACGGTGGCCCAGCTGGAGCGGGACAAGCCCAGATTCCTGGGTTTTCCCCCCAAAAAAACCCCAAAATCGCTGTTTTTTACCCCCAAAAAATCAAAATGGCTGTTTTTAACCAAAATCGCCGTTTTTTGCCCCAAAACGCAGCTCGTACCTGCACTGCGAGTGGGCCACGGTGGCCCAGCTGGAGCGGGACAAGCCCAGATTCCTGGGTTTTACCCCCCAAAAAAACCCAAAATGGCTGTTTTTTACCCCAAAAAAATCAAAATGGCTGTTTTTAACCAAAATCGCCGTTTTTTGCCCCAAAACGCAGCTCGTACCTGCACTGCGAGTGGGCCACGGTGGCCCAGCTGGAGCGGGACAAGCGGATCCACCAGAAACTCAAACGGTTCAAGACCAAGATGAGCCAGATGAGGCACTTCTTCCACGAGGTTTGGGGCGAAAAACGGGGGTTTTGGGCAAAAAGGGGGGTTTTTGGGAGAAAATGGGGAAAAAAAAATGGGG